GACTCCACATTTTAAAAATATTTGGAATTATACAGGGTGCGCTCACAAAGTAGGGCGCCAAAATGGTACATTTTTTTAAATAGAACACCCTATATTTGAATGCATTTTTGAATTTTACGTGTAAATTGTACGTCTTTTTTATTATATGGTTAATATCCGAAAAACTACTAGTTTTAAAGATAATTCGATTTGTAAGAAAAATTGGGCATTTGCAAGCGTCAGTATATTGTCAAAATGATTACTTAAAATTTTGATTCCAGGTTTTACATCTTTTATCCTGGGTTAAGTAAAAGTCAAATAAATACATCTACTATGACACATTAAAAAAATAGCTTACACTGCTTACAGGGTGTTTTTTTGGTAAGTCCGAATTTGCAGAACTTCATATTAAAAAATCTCACTTTTTAAAATGGAACACCCTGTATACTTGCATTTCATCTTTTAGCTCTTCCAAAAACCTTCAACTTTTGATAATAATGTCCTATACCTATCTCTGATATTTTTCAAAATATCTTGGTTTTTCTGGTTTTTATATTCTATTGTACTAGAACATTCGGAATCTTTCGGAAGCAGTCGGAGAAAGAATGTTGTTTGCTATTTAAGTAAATCAAATTGTGTTTCGAGTTATTTCCAATATCGATGCGCTCGTGTTATGTAAAATACCTGTAAGTGATAAATAACATTTGCTGACATAAATTAATCCATTTCAAGACTGTTATAAATTTATTGTTAGTTATATGTAAATAAATAAATCACGTTATTAAGTTTACGTTACAATAGCGAACCTAGACTAGAGTTCAAAACTATGTTCGATGTAAAAGAGTGCAACTCAGTTTTCAATAATCACATCCGTTTGGTTACTCCTCTATCTGAGTCTTTTAAATAATAATTAATCAATGTGATTAATTACAAACATGCGAAGCGTTATCTATTTACTTGGTAAAATTAAGGAATTAAATAATATAATTACTTTTCTCAATGCGCGGGATTTGGGAAATTAATTTTCCTAATAAATGATTGCAATCATTTTCTAAATGCGGTTAAATGATATAATTTATTAACTCGAATGTTCCGAACGGGTAGCACCTACTTGAAAGATGGGAGATGACAAATGTCTGATATTAAATATTAAGGGTAAATTTATCACCATCTCCTCTGTCTACATTAAATAAGTCGCACGGCCTTTCCACTGGAATAAGTGTTTGCGTAACCTAACCCTAACGACAAGCGCCGGGTTAAATGAAGGTGGCAGATCATTCTAAATGTAATTCCTTGTATTCTTTTGATTGATATGCCTCTGAAGCTCGGCGGCCTCTCCTTTACTTTTTAGATGTTTCAGCTGTTTTCTTATAACCACAGTTCAAGTTGTTGGGATAGTCATAATTTTCCTTGAAATTAAGTTCTTTTAAATTGATTCCTGGGAACAATTTTCGATTCATGCTTAGTTAATGGTGTAGCGTTTACTTATTATATCTTAGTTGGAAGAGCAATAATTAGAGATTGTGGTCGGTATTACCACCGCTTTTGAATGGCAAATGCAATTTTTGTTTCAGTTAAACACAAATATTAACCGTTATATATTTCAATAAAAAGCCATATTATAAAATAAAGTCATAAGACCCGGATTATTTGTTATCTTGTCCAAATATAGTTTAAGTGTAAACGTCCTGGCTAAGGTTACCCGCAAGCATTCGACTTCATTCGCCATAGAGATGGACGTTCCGTAGAGGGAAATTCGCCTCTGTTCCATGAGAGTCTTTTTCTTGTAAAGGGTAAGTGTGGAGGCTCTTGACATATATACTTTACCATTGAAATCTCCCAGTTTGATTAACCCCCAATCAAGAATGATCTATTGAATTGATTACTGAATTTTAACACATCAGTATCCACAATAAACTGATGTTCCGAACCCAAATGCGTACATATATGACCAAATTAAAACATTATAAAGGCAACGCATACCTATTTAAAAAGAAATGTCATCCAGAGAAGTGAGCTCAGTTCACGGATTGTAATTGACAACATGCAAACCAGATGGGCATGGTTTTCACTACTGCGGGCTAGCAGACGTTGCCTTCAGCTTCCTAGCTTGGCACAAACGTCGACTTCGTCCGTTTAACCAGTGTTGTTAAAATCTTCGATGTTTAATTTTTAATAATTTTTGCTTTGATAATGGCCAGTTGTTAACCAGACCGAAACATGTCAGCTACTTTAACAGCTTATTCTGCAACATCTGTAACTACTACAGCAGAAATATAAATTTTATTGGGGAAGACATCTTGTGTTATTAATATTTCAACAGAATTTCAGAGTAAATTCAGAACGTTCTTAGGAAGCTTTTTGATGAAGAACTCTAACGAAAGTACCAAATTCGGAGTTTTAGGTGCCCATAACAAAAAAAATCAATCAATTTTAAAATGCAGGGTATAGATGTATTTACTCAGGTGCTCTTTTTGTCATTTGGTTTGAGGGCCAAAAAGAAACTGGAATTTCCGGACCCGGGCGGTGGTGATCCCATCGGTACCGGAGGATGAATTAGACCAGCCCAATTTGGCTCCTGCGACGTCTTTAGAGGTGATTGGTGTATAGATCCCTTCGGATGGATAATGACTGGCGCCTCGTCCCTAGTGTCGGACCATTCAAAGATCGATTTATATAAACTGGTGATCTCCTCAATCGGCGGGAACACCCCGGGCTCAAGGAGAGGTTTCCAGGAGAGTATCCTTTCGGCCAGCTGGCAACGCCTTAAGCGTACAGGGCTGTCCGACGTTGCTTATTGCTGGCCGGAGGCGGTGACGGTTGGGGCATCTCTGTGGTCTTCGGAAATTTCCTCTCCACTGTGGAAGTGGCCACGAAGCCAGGTCCGACGGTGTCTTGGAGCTCCGGCAGTGAGCCTGACATGACTACATGGCGAATAGAGAACGGCGAGTTGGTACACCGGGAGGGATAGTGGGTCGATGGGTGGTAAGTGCATCGGTAATAAGGCGCGCCCGGACCGCCTCCCCCCTAGGTGATGTGGGGGTCCAATCGCAGCGCTTGCGTTTCGTGCTGGGCTGCTCCTCGGCCTCGGTTGGTGGGCGGCCTGGTGCGACTGCATCCATACGTGGACCCGTGGCGGCTGGTGTATGCAAAGGAAAGACACGCGCGCCCCTTCTCTCCAAGAAGTGTCGGTGTGCACGCCTCCTCAGGGGTAGCGATGTTGGTGGGGCTACCCAGGTTACCCTCATACCCAGTGCCGTAGCGTCGATTTCGATGTAGGAATGTCCTAGTGAGAGAGTCGAGTGAGCACAACACGCAGTTTCGGGGGTTTGCCGGAGTTGGCTTAGATGTAGAGGACGGTTGCATGACGGTCTGGAGGTCTGCAGAGGGCGGAACTGGTGTAACGCTTGTGGACGGTTGGACGTACTGCAAGTTCCGTCTTTCTCGCTCGAGATACGGTGCATATTCCGGCTTATCCCGCCGGTGACGTATCTGATCTTTGGTCGACCCCGTTACAGTTGTATCTTCACGGTAGGACAAGGTGTGCTTCCTTTTAGCCTTGGTCTCGATGGTGGGCAAGATCTCGAAGATTTCGGACAGCTCGTTTCTCCAAGTGCTTGAAATACTGCTCTGGATGAGAACGTCGCGCTAGTGTAGGCGCACGGCGTTGTAGGTGTCGAACGTCTCTCCACAGTGCTGGCAGGCATCCCTTGATAGCTCGCCGCAGGTTTTCACGTGATTCAGGCATGAATTTCGTACATTTTGCCGCACTTCCTGCACGGCGTTCCCTTTGGCCGAGAGGCAGGGCGATTGGTTACCTGCGCCTAGCGCTGAAAGAAGACTCGGTGCCAGTGCTTATGTGGCGTTGTGCGCAGGCTCTTGGACCGGGGTCCAGGGATCCGGGAGTAGGCGGGCATCCGACGGTGGATCGTCTATTGGCCGAAGGCCGAGAAACTTGCTTACTCGGATCCATGCGTGTGATATCTGTGCCCTTATCCGCAGAGGACTGCGATACCAGATAAAGATGTTTGTCCGACCTTTCGGATCAAACGGCGGATAAGAGAAATGGAATGTGCACGTGAGTTCGACTAGGATTCGCAATTAACGTGAGAGTTTTGCGAATACAGTAATTAAGGTGGTATAAGTGTGCAGTTTTTACCTTGTCGATTTTTCGATGGTGTACGGACCATCTTAGTTTACACTGTTTCTCGCGAAACGCAAAAACACGTACTACGTCCATATCCATAGCTATTAAGATGAGTCGTCGTCGTTCGCCTAATTGTTGTAGCTGCCACGCGGGCGGCTCGGGTTCGATTCCCGGTCTATGCATATTTTTTTAAAATATCATATATAAATTACGCATTTCGCCAGACTAATATTAAACTTGCACAAAATGCTAATTTGACAACATATTTTTTACCGTGTATAATTAACCTAATTTTAAATGATAAGTAAAGCTGGAAAGTTATCGCCGGCATGATAAATCATATAGTAAGAACGGAATTTGCCGTCAGTAATACCCGATGTTGCTACACGATGAAGAGAAGAAGGGCGAAAGGGTGTATAAAGTAAATATGGTTCTTTTTCCCAAGTAAATGCCTCTATGACCTTATTTCCGTTTAATACAGATTCAATACATTCTGATGTCAAGGAGCAGGGCAAGCAGGTAATTTTTAATTTCAATGGAGGTATGAAGAATGATCGTTTTTCATTTTTTTTAAATGTAAACTTTTTTTAAAATTGTTCAAGCTACATCTTGAAATATCGAATTTGCGAGTTATTCGAGTTCGAAAGGTGTTTATTCGAAGCTCGCGCTGAAATACAATAATACAAACACGATTTTTTTGAATTTATAGACCCTTTTAAGCATTTATTTGTAAACAACAAGCTCTTATTCATTTTGAGCTATTCTGACTCAAAAATGATAATATTTACAAAGTGTGGAGATAGTGCAGACGTATATTGTATATTTCCGGTAGGTCTACACTTCCTTATCGCACATTGCTGTTTAAAGAAACTAATTAAGATAATCTGGAAATTCAAAGTATAGTGGGTCGAAGAACTGTGTTCTATAAATATGTGCATGTAGACAGTGATCCATGACACTGATGGTATGTTGTTGAACAGAAAACATGTCGCCGACTACAGTTTGTTTTTATTATTTGATTATTTTGGACACCTTATCTTTGTCTAAGTTCTACATTTTAGCTTCCATTTATTGCAATATTTGATAAGAGCGAGCATAAAATTAATATAAAAACTGCGGAAAACAGTTGTGGATCGTCAAAATAGTTCAAAATGTTGAAGCTACTACTGCTTTCATTCATCAGCGTTGCTATAGTTTATTTCTGTAACGGAGCAAAGGAGGCAGTTAAACCGAGTAAGTATCTACATCATTAGAAGTTAGTCTAAAACTGTCTCAACAGATGAACTGCAATTCAGACAAGGGATCAACTTGGGAAATTTTGTGTCTGGTGCTTTATTTTGTATATACGTGGGTATTATAAACGCCGTCAATATAAATACGCCGGGAATTATTGAACAACTTGGTCAAGCTTTACTAGACGCGGGCCTTTGCTTAAATCTAAACTTAGAGAATGGGGTAAATGAACTCGTTACGGAAATGCTATTTTGTATCCAGAATTTAGTAAATGGAACTATATGGCAATTGAGTGTCGTCCTTGCCAGACTAGAACCGATTCTTCAGAATATAGAACTTAGCGTCCAATGTACTGAAAATATGGTCATATATTTATGTTCAGAGATGTGCGTAGCTATGCCACTACTGTGCCTAGAAATAGGGGATTTAAATCTCTTTGAGTTTCTTTTGAGGCCGGTAATGAAAATAGTTTGCGATCTCTTACAATAAACGAAACGTTCGCTTTTTTTTTGTATCTACTATGTTTTGCTATTGGTAAATTATTTTTATAATTTAATATGTAAAGTTGTTAATAAAGCGCTTAATTCAAATTCCCCAAAAAAAATTCACATTGCCAAAATCCCATCGAAAATTATTACTTTTGTGGTTACTTTTCCTTCGAAATCGGAAACTTGCATTAGAGGCGTGCACTATTTAAGTGTATAGTAGCAGTCGTAAATGCAGTCGGCTGTGGTCGAAATGCAACTTCAGTAGCTTGAATGGTGGTAATGAAATGCCACTTCACGCTACAATGTGCTAAAGAAGCTTTTGTCGCCTACTCCGTTGGATAACCACTTTATTACCTTATTCGCCGCCACCTTCGCAGACGTGGGGCAGGAGAATTCAAAATAATCTCATATTCGTACAAAGCTCATTTTCTGATTTCAAATGGTTCCAGCTTTTCGCTTTTGAACGTGCAACGTTATATTGTCGGCCGTTTTATAAATTACTTCTTGAGAAAACTAGGTTTATAGTGATAAATTTTTATATAAGTACATTGCAGCTTACCGATATAAAGTACAATTTACTTTCTGACTTAAAAGTGGCTCGCATACGAGTAATTTCACGGTGTAATCCGCTAAAAGTTTCATAGTATACAGGAGAGACAGAGGCGAATGTGCAGGGAAATTCTGTAACAAATCAAGACAGATGAAAATATGTGATGGATTCAAAAGTTAGTGGTGGTCGAAGATCGCGTCTGTATTAGCAAGCGATTTGGTCTCGCCTTATTTGGTCATTCATTCGGCCATTTACATTCAAAGAAAATCTGCAACAGCTCACGTCGTGCCTTTTCTATGGAGTTGTTTTTCGATGACTGCGTCTTGTTTATTTAAGATGTTAGTGGAGACTCGATTTCCACCATACTACCAGGTTGATGCTGTCACTTGTGCGTGGTGTAGCAAATTTCTGTAAAAAGCAATAGAGAAAGCGAGCTGACGGCTTTCGGCAATTCTACTCATCGCAAATAACCGCGTACATTTGGTGTTAACGTTTTTTTTCTCTTTTAGTTTTTATTTAGTTTTGTCGCCTTCGAAACCCCTTTAGAAGTTTTATTTTGGTTTTAATTTAGATTAGGGTTCATATTTAATTTTAGAATTTGGGATTATTTCTTTTGGGATTATAAATTACGTTTGAAATTCGCCGTATTTTTTTCCTTATATCTATGATGCCGTTTTTACCCTCTTCCTACTTCTTTTGGTTCTTTAATCTTTTCCCTATGATTTTATGCTCATTTATCTTTCACCCTGCTTTCTACGTTCTGTGTCGCTTCTTTGGTTTACAGTGACTTTATAGAGACAGTGGCGACAATAGGAGTTCGGCCGCCATTTTGCGTCAAAAAGTTGGCGACACACAGTACACGTAGGCATGTGTGGCGTACACCGCAATATCACAGGGAGCAGTCAAATTACCGGCGTCGCCGCGGTGGTTGCGTTCACATATTGGGAACGTTTTATTATTACAATTAGCGATATAAAAACTGTAAATATGAATATGAATTTGGTTGTTTCTAGTAAGAAACAAATCCCTGCAAGTATTATGAGAACATCTTTCCTTTTTAGATGAAAATTTAGGTTACGTTGCGCTAATAAGCCCCCCAGATATGATCATGAAATTGATAGAAATGGATAGAGGACACCTTAATTACACGTTATCAGTTAAAAAATTTGCGGAAGAACCCTTACATTTTCCACAATCTTCATTCAAAGTTCACTTCATTTCGTCGTAAGTGAGGTTATATTATTCAAATTACATTGTTGATTTTAAGTTGGTTATAGTGTTCTTAAAATTCCTCAGTGCCAACTTTAATTTCTTAACAGGTTATGTTATTTTTTCACGATATAATAAACATTAAATAATGATGTACAAGTATTATACATGTGTTTTTAATTATATCATAATAGTAGTAAGCAGTTCCCTACATGTTTTACTTAATTCATGTTCATGTTTCAATCCCAGTGATTTGGAAATAACACAAGGGTGTCTACGTTGAAGTGAGATTGACAATATTATCATGGAAAATGCGAGAGATGTTCCTTCCCCTCTCGACCGTAGTAGGCGGTGGATGCTAAGCGGCGATTGACACGAAAAAGGCGTTCCAAGTTAATCAGTAGTCGATACGAACTAGGTGGTATATGAAACATGCAGGAAGTGCCACATGCAACCTTCTCTACCACATTCCTCTTCCCTAATGCATTCAAGTTTAGACTGTATACACTTCAAAAATTGGTGTCATCAGAGTTAAGAACATTTATTCAATGTAAAATTTTGAATAACTTTGCAGGCGAAGAAAATGAAAAGACAGTAATATCCAGAAGAACGGATTATTACACTTATTAAATAAAACACAAAATTCCTCTCCAATCAATTTATTACAAAATAATTGGTCTAAGCAAAAGACGTATAATTATGATTTTCGCTACCATTGAGTAAGGGTAAGTCTAATTGAAAACACTTTTTGATCATCCCACAGGTCACACATCAGTGGGTTCAGCATCATATCTTTCAACTTCCACAGCTCCGCCTGAGTGGATGGTCAAGATTCCATCAACTGCTTTCTGAAAACAATCCTTTCAATTGAACGTCTTACTCTGCCTCGTCAACATAATCTCTTAGCTGAATCTAACTCATAGAAATTGTTCGATGGGCTATTGCACTGCTAGTCGAATATGGTATCGCGTTTCACAACAATATCCTCAATTGCTGCCGCATTGGCACACATATTAGGTTCCGCCACATTCGTTTTCAGCTATTTTTCGATGCCTTTGTCCTCCAATGCTAATTTCACGCGGAAATACAATTAGGTACTGAATTCACGGCCATCGAAACACAAATATTTCATCGTCTACCTCTGGCATTTGACTGCAGAAGTCGCTAATGTCAGGCTGTCATCTGTCATGATACTATTTTTTGGGTACGTTCCACTTAACGCCCGCAACGACCACGACGCTCGGCTGCCGTTCCACATAACGACCACAGTCGTTATGGTCGCAATCGCGACGTCAGATATGACGTCATTACTAGCGACCGCAACGAGCCCACGGCGCTCGCCTATCGTACCTGGGTCAGCGTGGGCGTTCTAATTTTTGCCAAAATATGAAAATAAACTCATGCAGTTTTTAGACAAAATGCTTTCAAAAGAATTATCGGTAATTTTTATGCACTTGTGCAATTACTTACGAAAACATAACTCCTGCGAGATAAAAATAGGGTAGTACAACGCCTGACCAAGTCCAGATGCTCAAGGCAAGTATACTGGCCCTGTGCTCGCCGAACCCCCCGCGAGATAAGAGACCTTCCAACGTCAACGTTGATCGGGTCTTTCGATTTACCAAAAACCCCTTTTTGTTTCCTCGTAAGGAGACGGCGAAATCCAAACAGTAATCACACGTTAACTCTTGACAAAAATCGAAGGATGTGACGAAATGAACAAACGTAACGAAATTACATTCAGATTAGACGAGGTAAGCTCAGGCAAAGTAGATGTGGATCGGGGTAACCAATGTGGTTCTCGTACACCAGCCAAAACGAAGCAAAGGGAAATATAGTAAAGAAGAACCAAGCCAACATATGTACGTACATACAGACGGAAAAAATAAGAAAGGTGCATTTTTTACGCATGCATTTTGTTTGCTTTTATTAGAGGGACCTACCATCCAAATTTCGTTAAAATTGCTCCATAAATAAGAAAGTTGGATGTTGCACATGCGCAACTCGATTTTTTGCGCATGCATTTTGTTTTCTTTTATTAGGAGGACCTACCATCCAAATTTCGTTTTAATTGTTCCATAAATAAGAAAATTGCATTTCTGCGCATGCGCAACACGATTTTTGCGCATGAATTTTGTTTGCTTTTATTAAAGGGACTTACCATAGAAATTTCGTTTAAATTGCTTCAGAAACAAGGTCGTTGCGTTTTGCACATATGCAACACAATTTTTTGACTTTGACAATTTTTTTCTCCGTTTTTTGATAATATAACCCTTCCAAATAATAGAATAAAAATTTTAGGTTGCTATTTGAAAAAAAAAGTTCGATGCCGTTACGGCGCTCCAAAATTTTTTTTCAAAAATCCTAATTCACGTAGCTTTCCGTTGATAGCTATCGCAGTTTGTTCTTTCTTTTGCCCTGACGCATCCCAACTTATCTTTCCAATTTTTTCACGCCCCAAAATGGCGCTTGATAAATGAAATCGGCCATTTTTAATCATTAGCTCATTTGATTTGTGTAAATTCACGAATTACAGGTATTCTTGTACCATAAATCAAACCCACGGCCTTTTAACATTGCAGATTCATCGTTTCCCATTGCCGAGAAATTAGCAGTTTTAATCACATAAACCCCATTAAGATTGTATTACCGCTTGTTATCGCCGACAGACTGTCGCCAGTAACTTCCCAGAGCCACTGACCGTTCACTACTCACAAAAAAACCAGCGGCCCATAAAATAAAGATGGCCAATTTTATTAATAGGCTACAGACTTTAAAAAATGTAGAATTACTAAAATGTTTTGGAAACCAACCTTTCAATTTGAACACCCCATATACTCCGTAATGATGATGACAGGATAAATAGTTAGAAAAACTGCCAATCCAGAACACTCAATTTGAAGTTAGTCACACATGATCAGCCTGCATGAAAGTTGTCGAACGATGTTCATAATCATAATGAAAGATGGTTGCTACGCTCAAATGTTTCTTTATTATAGAGTGCACGCATTCATCTAACATTTCTCGGTAGGCCTCTACCAGCTGTCGATTAATTTTGGCGATAGTATATGTATTTGCGTGCAAAATCTAATAACAGTCGGCTGGAAAATGAATCAACATGTCCATTCATATTCCGCGCTCACGCAGCGCCTTAAAGTGCAATGGTATTTAATTATCTACAATGAATGGACAGTGTCACGTTGTAGCGCAAGAAAATGAGAACAAATATACTGTTCTTAAACTGAGAACTGCAAAATAATTAAAAGGGAAGATTAATATGTACCGTATCCGACACATTTAACTAGTTGAGAAATTTAGTTCTAG